CGGTTTTCATCAAAAAAAAAAATCTTAATTAGTGTTCCAAAGATGAATGTCTTATGGGTTTGTAATGAGGGTGAGTAATGACAGAATTGTCATTTTTGGGTGAACTATCCCTTTAAAACATGTCATTCAATATATTAAGACATAAATGAAGGGGGCAGTAGGAATGCCCTGGGATAACCATCATTTATGATCGAAAAAGAGGACAGAGAGGGAAGGAGATTGAAAATGAGACAGAGGTCCGGACCTATTTAATTGAGTGGGGACAGAGCAATAGTAGTGTCATTTACAAGCACAGTGCTGCTACAGAGAGGCCTGCGGTGCAAGTTAGGCTGTCAACGTCCCCCCGCAGGGTGAATGGCAGCGCCCCAGAGGATTCTAACACAGACAAATGAGGACAATCCGTTTTACACTCACTAGCACTCAGGGCAATCGCAGTGGGGAAGTAAAAGACAATCTAAACTTTTTCACTGAAATGTTCTTAGCTCCGGCTACCTGAGCACCCCTTCATCAGCGGCTAGGTAATAGAAGCTGCACAGCGATGCATCTGGAAGCGCACATCGCAGTTTCCCAAAGGCTGTCCATTACTAAGATCAGACAGGACCAGTGCTGCTGGCTGGAGAGAGGGGGTATTTATGCTATTTGATTTAGCCATGAACAGATACCAGCTCACATGTGAGAGGTTGGGAACTGCTTTGAAGGGCTTGAGTCATCTGACATCAGCATTTTGCACAGTTGGAAAAGAATCCAGGGAAATGATAGATGATGATGTTTTCCCCCTCGCTTTCTTTTCCAAAGGAGATGAATAGAATTATTTATGTAATGGAATTTAATCTGATTCATCAATCGCACCATTCTGTGCTGTTCAGTTGCTTTGACACAATCTGTATTGTTAAAAGCGCTATATAAATAAAGGTGACTTGACTTGACTTGACCATTCTGCAATCAGATATCTGCATACAATGACTGATAAACTGCATAATTGATCATTATCCCTGGCCACCAATCTTCTGTGCTAGTTTCATGTCTCTCATAATACGCTGTGGTTGCATTCTTTCTCACAAAATGCAATAATTTCAACTAATATCAATATTTCATGTCCATTTATTTATTTATTTGCTAAGTAGCCGTGTAATAAGTAATGTGCAGCCGGCCAGTCATTATCGCAAAATAAACTTCCACATCGGGGTCCTGATTATTCTGTCAAGATTTATTTTGCTATAATGACTGACTGACTGACTGACTGTATAGAATGTACATAATGTAGAATTTATAGATGGTATGGATTGGTATTCTTGCAAAATAACAGTGTTTTCCTCTTGCAGGCGGGGTGCTACTGTGCACTTTTCTTGTGATGAAGGATACGAGCTTCAGGGGTCTAAAAGCATCACCTGCCTACGAGTTACGGACAGTTATGTTGGCTGGAGTGATGATCGGCCTATCTGCAGAGGTATGTCACCCCCCCCCCCATCCCCCC